TTATTTCACTGTCTTCCTCTTTATTTCACTGTCTTCCTCTTTATTTCACTGTCTTCCTCTTTATTTCTCGGCGCTCTTTTTCTCTTGCTCTCTCTCTCTTTCTCCTCATTCTCCTTTTCCTTTCTTGTTTTCTTATATATAATTATTATGGAATAATTGAATATCGATAATTTTTACTATGTGTTTCTTTGTTCAGGTTGTGATATTGACTCTGAAAAAGGCCACACCGAAAGTTGCTAGATTTCTATTGTGTGCTGTGCTGATTTATGCTGGATTTACTTTCTGTGGTTGGCTTATTTTAGGTCCATATCACATGAAGGTAAGTTTTTAATTTATAAATATTTTCCGGATTTTTGTAAACATCTTTGTAGTTTAATAAAGGTTAATATAGTATGTGGCTAACACATTCAGGTCACTGCTTGTAGAATCTATGGGTGCCGATAGGTCTCCTTCAATTATGGCACCGATAGAATATACGGGTATATGATTTTGCTTTTATCATGCTTTTTCCATTCGCTGACTGTTAATGGAGGTTTGTACACCAATAAAGTACCTAAAATCACTGCTAGATTTTGTTTGTTGTTATTTAATCGGTATTGAATAGCTTTGGAATACAAGGATGTTCATGCCCTGCAGTGACTCGTAAGGAGTGCTCTTCAAAATTACCACAACACTGAAGCCAACTATTGTGTATAAGAAGTAATGTTTTGTTCGTTATTTCAATAGACACTAATGTAATGTTATGTATAATGTTTTAATATTTACAGAATTTGTAAGGATTTAATTAAAATATGCATGTTAAACTTGCTTTTGAATTCAATTTCTTGTGTTATTTATATTGAAAAATATTTTAAACTATTAATGCGAACGTAAAAGTTACAATTTCTTATAAAAGTACATTGTTTAAAATAAAAATAGAATCTTGCTTCTATGATTATTGGTTTAAAAGTTATGATCCTTCAAATATAACCCAAAATCTTACCTGTGGAAGGAAAAAGTTGTCCTGAGGTGTTGACCTGAATGTGTTAAAAAGATTGGTATATTATATGACGAACCAATAGACCATATAACTGTCTAGTATATCATCAGTTAAAATCTCTCCTTGCTCTATGCAGAAAGATAGGTTTCTTTTTATTTATTTTATTAAAAATAACCCTCTTAATACTATTGTATAGTTTCTTGCTAGACTTTTAGCTGGCCATTCGCGATGAAATTGCAAATCTGTTATTGACTAGATTTTCCCTAGTTCTAAAGAATGCCACTGTGGCAACTCTAATCTGCTACTACCTTGTTATTCATGTTATGATGTATGTTTTTTCTGCATCTCTAAATATTCTCACAACAACAAAGTGTGTTTAGTAATTTGGTGAACACTGTCAAGCTGACCTATGTGTATAGCAGCAAGCCTGCATTGCGAAGTGCATGTGTCACCATAAAATTAACACTAGCATGATAAGTTTTTTTAATAGTGAAATAGCGAGAATCAGTATGCAAATGAGAAAAAGGGCCTATCTATTAGTTGTACACATTTGTACACAGGGAGATTTTGCTTCCCCTCACTTCTCTCATTGCTTCCCATCAGCACACTTGCTTATTGGTAAAGTGTGAGGATATATTTTATACACATTAGTTGTTTTGATAATTCTTTTAAAATTTGGCAATTTCTTTTGATTTTTGTTAAATTTTAAAAATAATTTTTGATAATTATTTAAATATTCATCCTCTTTTCAGTTTCGTTCCTTAGCCAGCACATCAGAATGCCTCTTTGCATTGATTAATGGAGATGATATGTATGCTACATTTTCTATAATGTCATACAAATCACCGATGCTGTGGTGGTACAGTCGTGTCTACTTGTATTCATTTATCAGTTTATACATTTATGTTGTATTGAGTTTGTTTATATCAGTTATTATGGATGCTTATGAGACAATAAAGGTATGTATTGTCAGTAGCCCTTGATTCTTAATACAAGTTTAGCTTGTGTGGAATTAATTTTTTGTTATGTGATGTTCCAAACGAGAAAAGTTTGTTTACATCTTACTCTTGTAGATTGTCTTTTGAGACTCTTTCTAGTGTTCTTAATTTTTTTTTCCAAATTTTGCAGAAGTAAATAGCCATGCCTTTGTTTTGTTTAGATTGTTTTCCACTCTGCATGTTAGAATGATCAACAAGAGAAACGTGAGAAATATAATTCAGTGTTGTGAAATTTTAAAACTTTGGTGAAAAATATTTGATGAGTCAGAGTTAAAAGTTTTAATGTAATCCATTCTGAAATTAGTAGTTCTTAGTTGCAAACCATATTTACTTCTACTTCAATGCACTAGAGTCAAAGATGTCCTTCCTTTTGTTTGATTTATTATCAAAGTAGACATATGTAAATGTTAACAAATTAAAGTTATTACTTATTTGATAACTTTATTGACATTTGAAATTTTCATTAGCAAACAATGTATTATGGATGACAGGAATTAATTTGTTTTTGCATATATTTATTGTTAGTTACTCTGCTGTTTTGTTCTCGTCAGAATTTGAAAATTAATTTGCGATCCTAATAATTTTGCTTGCAGTTGTATTATAAGGATGGATTTCCCAAAAATGATGTCCAAGAATTTATTGCTGATTATATTGAAGAATCTTCAAGTAGTACAGAAAGTATATCCTCATGTTACATGTCCTCTATCTCTTTAAGAGGTTTATTGGATGTAATTTGTTGCAAAAGGTATGTTATTTATGGCAAAATAACTAAGAACATTACTATTTTCTCACAAAATAAATGTTTGTAATTGTTTTGTAAATAAAAAGAAGAGCGAAATTCAACATAGTGATGAATAATGTATTAAATCTTTCTCTCAACAAATAACGTTTGTAATAAAGCTTTTTAGAGTTGTTGTGGAGATCATATTAGAAATATTTTGATTTTAAATATGAAATTGTTACATTTCCTCTGAATAATGAGAAGAAAGGGGTCTGGCGGCTTAACTCATTAGTCAGCGTGCTTGCTTTCCATGACGCGACCCTGGGTTCGATACTCAGTCAGGCAGGATTATTGTGTGCGTTTTTCTTGCAAAATCCCAGTATATGTTGCTGTGTAACGATGAGAAAATTCACTTCTCAGGTTGAGAAGACCGGAATACGGTGTGGGGATGACTTCATGCTAACCACATGTACCCTCTTAACCCATGGCTGCGAGGCCAGGATGTCGCTGGTAGGCCATGGCCCATACATGGGCAGACGCACAAAGTTCAAACAAAAAATGTCAAAGGAATGCATTAGAATGGTTTAAGAAAAGTAATAGAATTTGAATCACGTGGGAAAATGTATAATTTTCTTTGAATTAAATAAATAAAGACAGCTAATATTTTTGTTTCAACTGTAAAAGAGATTGTGTAGATAACACGGGAAAACTGATGGACATGCATTAATTCATGAACTTACTATTCATGAAGACCACCTGTTATGTATTAAATTTTTCATACATAAATCCAGCAGTGAACATCATTTAAACAAAGAAGTACCAGGACTTAAGGTGATGTGTTCTCGTCAAAGCTCTAGAAAATTCAATGCAGTTGTGGTTATGCAATGAAAGACAAATGGAGTTCTAGAAGAAATTGCGTGAAAGTGGCATCTGCAAATTATGCAACACTGACTTCATTTAGTGAATCATTCCTCATATCGAATTAGCAAAGAGAGACAATATAAACCCCTTCACAAGATATTTTGAATAGGGAACATTTGTTCATTGCAACAATACATCTTAAAGTGAATTTTTATTTTGGATGCTCATTTTCAAGGGAATGTTTAAAAAGTTGAAAAACATTTTCTTCAATTTTGTGTTAGGTTTTTAAAAACAACTTTGCTAAGTTGAGAAGTGAAAACATTGAATAAAATAGGATAGTAATTTAAATTTGTTATTTACACTATTAGAGAAAATGATAAAAACCTAAAAAGGACTAAATTGACATTGTATTTTTTAACCCTGTGATTGTAGATGAATTTGTCATTACTCCTCTCTTTGTATAAGATAAATCTTGAGTTCTGATGATGATTCCAACAATTCTCAAATAAAATTCTGTGGTGTAAATGTGTAACATTCATTCAATTGTATAAATTTTGACTAAAAATGTTTAATTTCACTCTTAAACAAAAAATGTCCCAATATTATATCTTTGAAGGAAAAAGGGGTAATAAAATTGAACTTCTATCAAGGTAGCTCAACTTTTCATGAATCCACATCCAAGTGTCTTTCACTCAAACTCTTAACTTATGAATCATATTTTGTTGTGTGGTGTTTTTCTTTATTCTCAAGTAAATGTGTATTGTCATAAAATTTTGGACAAATATCTTAAAAATTGAACACATCTTTTATAAATCTTTGAAAATAATTAGTTTAATAGAAATGAATGAAACATCAGTTATTTGTGGATATAAGCTTCTTTCTTTATGCTTGAATGTGTATATCAACATTGCTTTTTGGCTACTCTGAATTTTATATTTAATCTGCTTTCCCGGTGCGTAAAAGCTAAGCATTAGTTGGTCTTGCTCTAAAGGCATCTACAATGTTAAGAGAGTCTCTAATGTTATTAGAGAATTCGACTTGTGAATATTAATTTGGATTAAGGTGATAGAATGGTATCAAATAGTAAACCTTGAAATCTGTGATCTTGTAAAGAGGTGTGCAGTATTTAGAATATCTGTCCATTAATAATTTATTTGTTGTAGGTTGTTGAAGTTACGTAAATAATTGTATTTCACATGGCCAGTCTCGCATAAGTAGAAAAGTGAGAAATGCTTGTTATGAGGGGGAGTTGGTCTTTAAAAATTCTTTAATTTTGTCTGTTATAGATTTTGTAACATTTCTTCACCATCTCATTTTATGTCAGATTGCTGTATAAAGTTTGTATTTCTTTCTGATGATATTCTATGCATGCTTGTGTTTTTCCATTTAGATTTTAAAAGACCTTGACAAAGACCTTGAAAAAAAAAAGAAGAAGAACCGCTGGAGTATACCAGATCCATGGTCCTGTAACAAGGAAACTTGTTTCAGTATCATGGATCTGGTATACTCGAACGGTTCATTTTTTTTCGATGTTCTTTTTAAAAGAATCAATATTCTACTATTTATTTGCAAGTAATAGGAATTTGATCCTCCAGAGAAAAAAATGCCTTATGTTGTTCCCAGATATTACTCCAGATAATATGTATACAATATAAATAATGTATGCTGTTGGATATCACAAGATAATTTGGATGTGATATTATTAGTGCAAATTTCCATCAGTGGTAATTTTTATTTGAAAGGTTATGCCATCCTATGCCATCCTCAATTTGTCTTTGCAAGGTAAGATGCTTGGTTCTTATGGACATATTGGTTTTCATCATATCATCTCTAACATAAAGTGTGTTGATATGGAGTAACAACTATTTCAAACAAATAATCCCTTATTATTTTAGGCAGCCTGATTTGTTATCTTGTTTTTGCACGTTTTACTACTTTTGATGTAGTTATTGGTTGATTTTGTATTTAGCCTCTGTTGAACGCATGCTGTATTTTTTTGAACAAAATAAACAGAAACAGGATATGGAAACATGTGTAAAAAAAATGGTGTTGTAAACGTTTTTCTGGCATTTCTGGCAATGAACATAATGAGGAAATGTTTAAAAGTTATTCTAAAAATCGTTGGAAAATAATATTAAAATCATACATGCTTAAATTAATGGATGGTTTGACAGTTTTGTTATAATAAAAAAATATTCCCAGTGATTCTTTACTCATTACACTACATTATCATCTTTGTGCTTAGTTATCATAGTTATTTTATCACTTATAGTGTATTTAAAATGTGTTCTAATTCTGTTTATGCATAATTGAGATAGTATACTTCACTAACAAGCTTGGTTTTTGTGTGCATGTTCAGGGATTTAATTTACAGTGGATTGATACTCATCTGTTGAATGCATGTTGATAACAGCTGGAGAAACTAACAAACTTTGAGTGGACATTTGCTTTTTACTTTGTTTACTATACTAAGAGAACTAGTAAAAGGTCTTTCCCATGCTAGGATCAGCAAATTTAACCTTTGAGGGGCTTTGCCCCGGCTAGAATTATGTGCAAAGATTTGTCAATAACAGCAGTGTTGTCCTTGCGATTTCAATGCCACTGTTATGTTTCTTACTGGGGCACATTTGTAATTATATTATTTTTGGTAATTGGATTGATCAATTAATGAAAATAAAAATGAAAAAAATAATACATTTATAAATTGCAAGAAAATTTGTATGTTCTATTTTAGTCTCCATTTGCAGTGTACACTAGGCCTCTTCCACGGAAGTGCATTCCAGTTATGATGGGGCTGTGTAGGGCAGAACATCCTACCCCACAGAGCCTCCGTCCACATTTGGGGGGATGATGGTGATGTTGATGGGAAGGAAATGTGAGGGAAAGATTATGCACAGTCCATGGCCCTTAGAGTGAATAGGTTGCTGCTCTGGTATTGGACTGGTAATCAGGGAAAACGCTGATCAGATCAGGATCTAAGAATTCAATTTTGTCAGATGGCCACGAATTCATTGATGTTAAACTCATCAAGTAAATTTCTTGCATCTTGCCAGTATTGAATCCATTACTTTCTAATCCCTGGTATACTTGACATGAGGCAATGCCTTGATGCTCACCTTAACTGGTGTTGGCTTAGAAAAAATTTTAGGGCTGACAGACTGAAAAATTGAGAGATAACTTTATACTTTCAGACTTTGTTTCTTTGATTAACAGGGGAGTACTTTTAGGAGATTTTTATTTATTTGTGTTTACACTTAAAGTATAAAATTTTTGAAACTAGCATCCATTTGCCTAAAATCATTACACAGTTTCAGAATCTAGTTTTCTTTTAAAATTAATTAAAATTTTAATAGACGATGAGGTAGTGTTCACTCTGCGAGAATGAATTGCTCACTTTAACAACTGTATTTATGTTAAAAGTAGTTATGTAATGAAATTCTTGAAAATGTATTTTTCCAAAGCAAGTTAGTTAATGTAAGAATTGCATGATTTCAAAATGTGTAAAGTTTAATATTGTTGTATAAATATATTAGAGTTGTGTATAGTGAAATATTTTCTGTCTTTTGTACTTTATTTCCATGCATGAAAATCCATAATGAAAAGTTTAAACTGGATTTGAAGTCTTAGGGAGAAAATTGTGATAGTTATCAAGTGTTATCTGACCAACATCACACAACCATCTCAGTTCACTATAAACTGTGTATTATTTAAAATTTATTTTCAGTGCATAAAGTTCTTATATTTCATAATGAATGACTTTCTTTGAATTGGGACAGTAACTGTAGCTTCTTTCTAAATATTTTCTCCTAATTGAGGTGTGGAAGGAAAATGAGAATTTCTACTAAACACTGCTGTCAATACACGGCAAGACAATATAGTTTTGATGTTAAAAAATAAAATTAAAAAAACAATTTTCAGGCAAGCACAAAGAAAGTTGAATAGGCTACTCAGGAATTCTGTAGATAACCTTTGTTGCATCTCTTAAATATTATTTGAAGACAGTACCATTAAAATTATATTAAAATTGTTTAAATCAGCAAAAAATGCTTTAAAAATTACAGCAAAAGGTAAAAAACAGGCATATTAGCCAAAATTGACGAAAAATGCGAAAGTGGTATAAAAATGGATCATTTTCTTTTGTCATAGCATGAAATTAATTTCTATACTAAAAGGCATTGATCTACAGTGGGGAAAAGAAAAAGGCATTTCATTAAATCCGCACCCTATTTCTTACGAGATTTGCATTGCCTTCTAAAGCATGTGTTCTGTAACTTTTGACCTGCATTTTTAAAATGTTTTTTGGTGCACATTATATGACATTTTTATTGCACTAATATGCCCATATTAATATACAGACATTTTGCAATAAAGTGTGAGAAGGTCTCCTAAAAAGATACCTCTAGACATGAGAGTTATTTCCTGTCAACATACTTAAAACTAGTGTTGAATATTCATGCATATTCCTAAATCTCTCTCACAATTGCACTTAAACATGATATTTCTATTTCAATTTTAAAATTGAGGTTCTTGATGATTGGAAGGGTTGGAATATTTAAAAATATGTCCAAGCCTACTCCAAAAATTATTTTTGTCTTCATCAGAAATGAAAATAAATTTTCCAGAAATAGCAGGAAGAATTTAAGGATCTTTTTCCTGTGTTATGACTAGTACTTAGTTTAAAAACATCACAGTCCCCGGAGCAAGTAAGCAAAACATGTGTTTATAAAGTGGAAGTCTGATATAACAAAAATTGTTTTTCTTCTATAATATTTTTTTTTCTAGGTGATAATTTCTAAAGGTCCTGTGAATATAAAAAATAAAAAGCCTTGGTGATAGCGAAATAATGTGCGTCTAACAATTTATGTCAAAAAAGTACTAATTAACTTTTTTAAAAAAAACAGTACATTAACATCTGGAATAATAATTTCCCTTGTGTCATTTTGTTCAAATCTTTTCAGAAATGCCATTCAAATGATGACTATTAGATTTGAAGTTATCAATTTTTACTTTTCTATTAATTTTCATCAATCACAATAAAAAAAATTGTTTTTTTTTTTTTTTTATCGTATTTGACACAGACAATTTATATTGGTTTATAAATTTATCTCAATTTCGATTTTTTAAAATATTTTTTAATGAAAATAAAGACAGACATAATAAATATTTGATACCCAACAACATATTTTATTTATTTAATAGTTACAAAATTTCTTTGATATTCTTCAAGAACATGTATAATGTACTGTAGTTGCTCTTCATCAAAGCTTGCTTCAATTTGCGTTAAACACTTTTTTTTAACTTTTATTTTGGTACTATGCTTAAATGCATTTAAAATTTAGTTTAGAAACAATTTTGGGTCCCTTATTCTTTATTTATTTTTCTTGCGATAAACACATTTAAATATGTAAAGACCAGTACATAGAGCTTATGCATGCATTTGCTTAGAGCTTTTTAAGCTTGAACAATAGTTTTAATTTAGTGCTTTATTAAGATTGTCTTTTAAATACATTGTGTTGTACATAATTGGATTTATAGAGAGTGGAGTGAATTTGATGTCATACATTTTTTCTTTGTTTCAAATATTGTTGCATGTTTATATAGTTCCATTCTTATTTGTCTCTACAAATTATATCAATTTTAACTTTTCAGGGAAAGGCCTCGCTGCATTTTGACTCCCAACAGGGTTCCTAAATTTAAACAACGTTCTTCTCATGGTGCAAATGGGATTTGTGTATGACAAATATGCTGTGAATGTTTTTGTGTTACAAATTTGAAATTGTATTATTAGTCTTCTAAGTAGACATGTTAAGAACTAGAAGAGTACTTAGGCAATTTGTGTTTATGCTTCTGAATGTTTGTATACTTGACTGACTCTTTATGACTTCTGGATGTACTATTAATGTGGTGATTTAAATACTACAGAATTTGTTCAAAGTGTCATATATTGTGTAAAGTGAAAGTGAAGTATTTTGTCTCCTATACTTTGTTCCCAAGCATGAAAAATCCATTATCAAAATATTTGATTTGAATGGAAAAAATAGGGAGAAAATGGTGAAATTTAATAATCATTTTTAACGCCAATGGGTGCAGCATTAGTGGTAAATTTGAAAACTGAAGAAATTTACTTGCTGCATGTACACAAGACTGTTTGAAGTATAATGTTCATTGCAGTTGTGAAAAGTATGTTCTTGCACAATTTGAAATCTCAACACATTTTCTTCAAAGTAAATGTGTGAAAATTAAGGACTAGCACTTGCCATGTTCTTTAAAAAATCTTGTTATTTAGTCTTTCCTTCTCATTGAAGCTGCAAATCAGCTTCCATTGTTATAATTAGGAAGTATTTATTCCTTCATTTTGTTTCTTCTTCTATGGTTTTAAAGCAAAATAACCTCATTAGACATGTGCTTTGGTATTGTTACACTGTTGTAATTAAAGATGTCGTTGAGAAGTAGCCAAAATATGGCATTCCAAGAATGTGTGTGAATGTTGCTACACAAATTTTGTTCCAAAGATTGTATTTATGTGCTTTGTATTAAGAATCATGATTGGTTGTGATAGGATATTGTACAAGTTTCTATTGTGACTAAATAAAATGAAGTCAGTTGAACATTCTTTTGTGCTCATTGTATAAATTATGACAATAGCGACTGGCAATTTCAAAAGGTGGTGCACAAAAGTATGCCTAAAAATTGTCAAGTAGGACCATTGTCTCCCTAGTTCCAACAAACCCTGTCGTTCACAAGCTCTACGGATACCTGAAAGTATTCAGGCATTGCCTCGTGATGTAATAGGCACAAATGAATACGGAGAAAACCAAAGTAAGTAATGCTACAAAATGAAAGAACATTTAACTTATTTTATTCGACTTCTCATAGTAACGTTTTTAAGCGTGCAAATACCGATTTTCAAATGAATGTGACTAACAACTTTTTAGTATTAAATTTAACAGCTTATTCACATAAACAAAAAGTAGTCTTTAAATGTGTGAATATATTCGCCAACAAAATGATTAATAGAGAAATTGCAGAAGTCAAAGTTAATACAAATTAGACTGAGTTTGTGGAGTTTTAATCTTTTCACAAATTAGGAGACAAAAATTTGGATGTGTAGAGCAAATCCGGGAAAAAATCAAATGTAGTTGTAGATTTTGGGACAGAATTTTCGTAACTAATTGAAAATGATCTTATTAGAGAAAAACAGCTGACGGGTGACATTTTATGTGCATATTAACAAAAAATCGTACTAAATTGAAGCTGTACTAAATACTAACTATTCGCATAATATCCAAAATTGAATGTAACAAAATGTCAATTGAAATCATATTTTATTGTAATGTACCATATTGCTTAGAATGGCAATAACATTTCGTGGATCTGCAATGCAATAAGAATCTTGTTCTCCAGCATTACTTGTAATCTATGGAAGCGTAGTTGGCAAACGGAAAACTTTGGTCCTTTGTCCACCTAAAACTATTTTCTATAACGGATAAAAAAGAAGAAATTTGTCAACTCAGCGAAACATACGGATTCAAAAAATGTCAGAGTGACAAACTTTTCTGTGATCTGGCAGTTCTAGCGTGAACATACAGTGTGTTAAAGACCAAAAACTGCACGTTTACAATTTTAAAAAAAGCGAGAAAGTGAAAATATACGAATGACGAGTAAAATTATTATATTTTGTAAGTATGTTTTTCCATTATAATGTAAGATATTTTGTAATTAGTCCATATTTGTTTGATGCCTAGTGTACAATGAGAAAAAAGTGAACCTGTAATCTCCGCTGAATATTTTCTGTTATATTCAATATTAGAGTAATTTCACTTTTCTGTTTTTATAAAAGCAAATATGTTTTAATCATAATGTTGATACCATTATCAAAATGTTTCAATTGTTTTTAGAAATCAGAACAATTTTCATTACAAATGTATAATAAAAACTCAAATAAATGCACAGAATTGTTTCAGCCATTTTCAAAGTGTATGTGATTAAAATGATAAAAATGGTTTTTATTTCTTTAACTATAGCTCAGCTATTGAAAAATCTAAAAAAAAAAAAATGCACGAAGTTTTGTGTTTTAAGAAGAAATGTTTGAGATTTTTTTTTTCAAGCCTGTTCCAGGGTTCTAAGACAGTAAAAATTATATTTGTCATTAAAAAAACTGCGTTTGAATGTAGCGCTGAGAAAATATATTAAAAAAAAGATTTTCATATAGCATAAATTAATTCGTTATTTTTCATATTTTTACAATCACATAAAATAGTGTTAAGTTGACAAAAAATGTAAATGAAAAACACGTTTCTGACTGTAGAGGAGTATGAGTGGTGGGACTGGGTCTAAGAAATCTTTCAAAAATGTGTGTGTTAGAATTATAATGTAACTACTCAAATGCCATTTGGTTTAGGGGACACTTTGCCCCCTCAATAAAAGATCCGAAATCCTGCCTCTGAGTACAAAGTGGCGGATTTTCGATAGGTGGGTCTCTTTTGGACGTCTGATCGGCAAAGGTGGTCCTATTTTCCGTGTTGTTTTTTCCCCGAGAGTAAACTTCCTTTTTCTTTTCGGTCATGGGTACCTTCTCGTTTTAATAGATCGCCTCGGCGCAAAAGGATCTATGATGGAATCCTGCGGTTACTATTCCCCAGTAAGGATCCCCTCGTGTTCCCCGGACAACATGCCCGTCTCGGTCCAATACCTTTAGATTGTGCCCGACGTAGCTCGTAGGTCCATCTCTGCGCTTGAATCATTACTGCTATTGTAAGGAGTCAGTTCCATTACGCAATAGTGCATCATGTACAGTTCATCAGTCACGCACACAGGTACCGGCCATTGCAAGGGTGATGCTGGTAACACACAACACAACAGGGATCTAGGAAGTTTGACCTACCCAGATGTAACCGGTACATGTCTCGCACGGGAGATCCTCCGCCTTCCGGTTCGAAGAGCATGAAGAGTGGGATAGCAAGTGAAAACGCCCATGCCTGCACAGGAATTAAACCTACGACCCTATGTACCGCACTCACTTCAGCACACCAGCCTTAGCAACCGCAATCATTTGGATCGGCTGTAGTTTCTTCGATCAATACCAGTCAAATATTGGTGCATTACCTCCAACAAACAACTCCCGGACCGCGCGCGATCTTTGCTTCCTCATCCTTGTCTCCGTTACCAGAACACTGACTACCCACACGTCAGGAGACCAGTCAGGAGCTTTTTCCTGCTGGGGAGATATCTGAAAGGAAAAGCCTCACAACTCCATCTTTAGGTCAGCCTCAGATCTCATATTCCAGAGGGGAGGAAGACGCTACCTTCCGGCTTTAACCCTTTAGATATGTTTCCCCCTGCTGCAGTCCTGTCGGTACTGACTTTTTAAATAGACGAATATCCTTGACCCCAGTAGATTTTTAACCACAGCTATTGTAGGCGTGGGTCGAGGCGAGCTAGGCTTGCGTATGAAGACTGGCGCCTGACGGGCAGTGAATCGCCGAGGGAATGTGTGTTCATCCCTCAAACCGAAGTACGTTTGAGGGATTGTGCATGGAAAATCTGCGATAGTTTATACGCTAATGCATGGAAATATTACGATCCTTCAAACAATAATATAGTGAATGAAATGTTTACAGGAATATACTATTTTTAATGTTTTTATTCTAAATTTGCTTTTACTATGTTGGATTAAGTACCATAATGTGTTGCTGCCCAAACGAGGAGGATAAATATATCTTTCTGGAATAGGCGTCGTTAGCCGAATTGCTTAACTGCGCTCCGTGAAGTCACGGAAGTTAAGCAACTAGACAGCAAGGATTCCTGGACGGGTGACCGCGAACGCCGGATGCTAACTGCGCCGAGCCCTGACTGAAGGAACTAAATGCACTGACCAGAAAAAGTTGACGGAGGATTACCCCAGATTCGCTCGATGCCCAAGAAAAGCTTAGAGACGTGTTGCGAAGACGCAACAAATTAATACCAAATTATTAGAAATTACTGCATTAAACGGAAATAGAACATTGGATATATGTGTGCAAGTGTTGTGTAATTGCAATGAGAACCCTTAAACCCCATTACAAACGGAAATGGTTCATTTAAAAGTCAATAATGATCAATATTACCTTTTCAAATTTCAAATTTTCTTTTCCCCGTTACTTGTTCGTCAATATTAAAAAAAACAAAACAATTGCCGATAAAGTGTACTTCGCCAATACATGAAAATTTAATGTTTAATTAGTTTTCCCGCGGAAAGGGACGATGCTCGCTTACATACAAACTTCTCAAACCTGAAGAAAGTATGTGGTATTTGAGAAGGTGTCTATAGCTTGTTTTGTGTTAGGGCCCCTTCTTTAGGTGAATGCAAGCGATCTACGTTATCTTATTTTGGTTCTGAAGTCAAGGTACATTATAATTGCGCAAAATGTCACGGCTGCCCATATTCGCTCATATATCGCCTCGAGACCTGTCTCTATCGACTTTCCTTTCTGTACTGTGTAAGTGGGGCTCCAATATGTGGAAATCTCCGTGGTGTGGCTTGTTCATGCGCTGTCGCACGCTTCTGGATGTCAGGTGAAAAATATCCCGTTTGTACCACTGGGCTAAAAATCTCTTCGTAACTGAAAGGTAAACATACATTACATTAACGGGGCTAATGTCCAGTGCAGTAAAACTTGCTCAATGCGAAATCTCAAAAGTCTGCGAAGCTTATGATCTTGGTTCCTTCTAGAAGAGGGATCTCGCCTCATAAGCCACAGCAATGGACTCAGCACCGAACCTTGTGGCACTCTAACGGTGATATATACCTTTTGCATCACCATGTACCATGATACGTATCTTTGTATTTCCACCATGCTTTGGTTCGTGATCTGTATTGTACACTAGAATTCTTGCGACTGAAATATTCAGACACTTTCCTAAAGTACGCTGGCTCATTTATACGGTGAATGGCCATATGCATGTTGTTCCACCGTACCGAGTTAAAGAAATCATAACACTAATTCTTCTAGCCAATTTTCATCGTTCAGAACACAAACATTACTGTGTAAATTACTTGTATATTTAAAAACTTGAGCACTTGGTTTATCTTGAGTTAGCTGGCGGTAGAATTATTCAAATTAGCACAGTGTCTTTAAAATCTTTCTAATTCTTTATCCAATTCCACTGGTCAGAGAAAGCTATGATTCTATGATCATGACAGTATCTGTTCACTATCTTGGGTACATCCCCTCAAAATTGCACCTTGTACTGCTGTTGCTCCTGCGGTGATTTCTACAACAATTCCTTCTTGAGTTCGAGAAACTGGAACAACTGTTCTGGGGTTCTGTCCCGACGCAGAGATACCTCCTTCAGTCGGGGGAAAAGGAGGGGAGGGCGTTGATATGAGACCAATAGGATTCTATTAATGTAGTCACATGGTCCAGGAAATCAAATATCAATCTAAGCGGGCGTAGACTTTGATGGTTTAAAATAAATTTACCAATCTAAAATGTACCTTTAGTTTAATCGATTCAGTAAGATTGAGAAGCTCGAATAAATTGGAAAGAAAATTTGCATCATGTGTTTTTACTGCATTGTCGACAGTATTTGATTCATGCATGCCAAAAATAATTACTTTCTTACGTCGATGTAGTCTTTCCGAGACTTCAGATAAAATATCATCTCGGTCATTTGATTTACCCTCTAGTACTAGGACTCATTCGTTAAGTTGCTTAGTTGCCGAAGTAATATCATCTATTTGTTGATAAATGTAATGTGAAAATATATCTGTGATTTGGTGCAAGGCCACACTAAGTTTTAGTGATTTTCGTTTTGTATGGCTAATGTGTGCTTAAACCTGTATCTATCTAGCGTGCTCGCATGGACACGCTCTACGAATATGTAGCTAGTTCAAACTTTCTCCTTAAATATTGATATAATACAATTAAAACGTCATGTTGTTTTTCATCACATCCTAAAATGTGTCACCCTGTGCATTTAAACGTTTGAGAGGAAAAAATGTTAATAATTATTTTGAAATTATAAAATGGTGTAATGAGATTTCTTACAAAATAATTCAGGCAGATAAGGGTTACAGCCCCTTATTTCAGTGCAAGAAAGGCCAAAATCAAAAGTCAATCCTATATCCTGATTTCACATTGAGTTACATTGGCCTA